AACTCGCGCCAACCATTCCCGCATTTACCTTCAAAGTGCACATTACTTCCAGCCCGAAGCCGACACGCTTCGAAAATTCAGACGTCGATATATCAGACCATGTACCATTCTTGCACGTGTCGGAGCCAATCATGACTGTTCGGTGAGCTTCAAATTGAAGCTGCCCGATTCCATCTACCGTGCCAACTTACATGATGTGTTCCATGTATCTCTCTTGCGCACCTTCAGATGGTCTCTTCCTGAGTTCCACGGTCGACCTCACCCTCGCCCTTTTCCCATCATCATTGAGGGTCATGAGGAGTTTATCATCTCTAATATCATGCCCCGGCGTATGACCGACGGTGATCCTCCCCGCCTCGAGTATCTTGTTTGCTGGAAGGGTTATCCTGACGAGGAGTCTACTCGGGAGCCTCTCGAGCACCTAAAGCACGCCATGACCTTCGTGCGTGCTTACGATCGTGCTCATCCTTTCCCTCCATGGTCCTCCCCTCCTACTGCTTGTCCTCGCACGGACCCATCTACTTCGACGACCACTGACATTCCCCATCCTACATCGATGGGCCCTCCCGCACCATCGGTACCCGTCTCGGGTCCTCTTTCACCTATGGATGTGGTGCCGCCTGTTGTTGCAATGGAGTCGTCTCGCCGTCAGCATGCCCGCCAACTTCCTCCTCGCTATCGTGACTGACCTTTACCTCTCCTTTAACCCCTACTATTCTTGGACACTTATGCAGAAGCTCCCGGTTCCGGTCCGGTATCTACATTCGACCTTCGACTTCAGTGCGCCTCTCCAGCAGCAGAGTACATGTCGCTGCGTTCCGGACTTCTACTCGGCCTCAGTGTTACTCCTACATCAGCCCGGCTACTTCGACCCGACTTCACCTTAGAGCTTACTCTGCAGGCGCATGATCACCCCTATGTTCCCTACCCATGTGGGTGTGTCCGTCTGGCGCCCCTCTGCCTTACCTTATGCTGCCCGCCGTCCTCTGGAATGTACGTTTTCTTTGTTCGTGGCTTTTGGCCACATGTCTATGCCGGCATAGCCCTCTCTCCTTCCAGTCTGACCTATGTGTGTTCCCTTGTGTGAGTGCCCTTTTCCTTTCAGCTGGCGGTACCCGTTTGACAGGGGGAATATACATGCATATCACTTCAAGAAGGAAAAGAAAGAAAAACAAACAAATAGCAGGAAAATAAGAAAGCCATGACACAGCTGGTGCGGTCAGAAACTGCAGCACGTGCACTTTGAGACTGCCATGTTGTCGCTGCAGCATGGCGATACGCATCCGAACTACGGGACCGGATACATCCACTGCGCTGTGGACTCGTGGAGTCAAGCACGGAACACAAAGAATATGAGTGCATACGAACTCGTTTTCGGAACAGGACATCGACGGCGCAGTGGAGTCAAGCACCTAACACAGCACACGCACGTGCTGATGAGCGGAATCGAGCGCTCGTCCACCTCTTGGGATAAGCGGACACTGGGGGGCAACGGGCGGAACGGTGGGGGAAGCAGGCGGAATGCATGTGGAAGATATGTGGAAACATGCTGGTGGAGGGCGGTTGCCCGATATGGAAATCAAGCGCCCTGACATTACCGTGGCGCAGGCTAAAGACAACACGATCACGGCGGGACACACAAAAAAAATACCTCACGCTCGTCTGACCCTTCCACACTGTCACGCATTTGCCCAAATCCCCCATTTCGAATTGTTTGAGTGCCAAAAAGTTCGTCTTCGATGTTTTCACCAATTTTGCATGTTAAACCACCAGTACCTTTCACTGCTTAGAAATCCGAGTCGCGATGGGTAAGGCGGTGGGGTCGGGCAAGGAACGCCCAGTAGGCTGCCAAGGACCAGGGAAAAAAACGAAAAACGAAAAACAAATGGAAAACCAAAAAAAAAAACAAAAAAAAAACGAAGAAAACTAAAGAAAAACAAAGAAAAGCG